GAGGGTGGGTGTGTGGCTCCCAGCTGGGTGTGGGTTGGCGAGGGTGGGTGTGTGGCTCCCAGCTGGGTGTGGGTTGGGGTCCATCCCATGCCCTTCCTTTATTCTGTGTCTCAGACTCACATCACGGTGTTTTGCTTATATCAAATGGTAATAGGTTTTTTTTCCTACTACACAATTTATTTTTATTTCGAAATATTACAAGGGTACAAATGTTTTTGGTTACATGAATCACTTTTATAATGCTTGAGTCAGCACTCTAAGCGTGCCCTTCACCCGGACACTCTATATCGTACCTGTCAGGTCGGTTTCCTCTCCGCTCCTTCCCGTCCCCCAGGCTTGATCCCCACTGAGTTTTCCTTCCCTCCCTGCAAGTGTGTGCTCATCAGTTAGCTCCAATTTAACAGCAAGCACGTGTGAGGTTTGTTTTTCCATTCCATACTTCCCTCAGTTCCATCCAAATTATTGCAAAAGGCATTGTTTCATCCTTTCTTATGACTAGTACATGGGTCACTACAAAAATTTTGAGACAGACTGTGTTGTGGTCCTTATTTTACTTCCAAGAAACACAACTGACAGCATCTTTTCTGATTCACATTTGCAAGCTTCAAGTTGCTGGGCTTATTGGTGTTGCTGGGAAGGCTTCATTTATTTCCATCCATATGGATTTTACATTTCTTGATTTTTGTGTATCTCAAGACTTTCATAATGACCCATGGCATACGCATACCATATTTTGTCAATTCACTTAAGTACATCCCTTTAAACTTTGGAGAAAACCTCTTTAAGGCTTATATAGTCCAAATGGTAATGGATCTGATTCCTGACCCCAAAAGGAGGGGACCCCAGCAGTCTCCGCTTTCTGGAAGTTGGAATCCACCCCCAACAGGCACTGCAGATCCCTGCAAAGACCTGGGGCCACTCTCCACCCTGGGAGGGGCTGGAGGCCTGGCTCGGGGTATCCAGGCAGTCCTCTCCACCTCCCTCAGGCACTCAGAATTGACTCCAGAGTCTGCCTTTGCAGACTGGAACAGCTGCCCCTGTCTTGCCCTTGGGGCTGGGAAGCCATTTCAGTTCTCTCATCTCAAGACTCCTCATTCATCCCTTTTCTGGGACTCTAAAGCCATTTCCCCACCCTGCTAGGGTCCATCTCCTTCCTGTGTCCCCAGAGGGCTGCAATTAGTGTTCCTGACTTTATTTACCCTCCCAAGGACTTTGAGACAAGTTTCTACCCCCTCTCTTTGTATACTGGGGTAGGGCACCCTCAGCTTTCCAGCAGGCACCTGCTACACAGTGCTGCCAGCATGCATTCCTCAGGGGTTGTCCCAGTGGCCAGCTGTGCCTGCACCTACTTCTCATCGAGCTGCTGACTCTGCAATCCACAAACAGGGCAGTGTTAAGTTCATGTGTGACACTTTAAGAAAAGGGTGTGCCTCCCTCCCTGCCATATTCCAGGTTCCCAGCTCTTGTCCCCAGAAGTGGCACTTGCCAGCTGCTCACATGCACAGCACACACCCGCACTGCTCTGTAACATGCACAAAATAAAGCACACCAGGCACATGCTTCTGCTTGCTGTTAAAAGTTTTATTATACCTTGTAGTTAGCTCAGATCAGCATGCAAAGAGCTGCTTCTTCATTTTAATGGCTGTCAGGAGGAGCTGTGGTCTGATTGACAGTTTCCTATCGGGTGTTTTCTGGCCCTTTGTCATTCCCAGTGGTACTGGAATAATAGCACTGTCCAAATATCTTTTCTCACACCTGTGAGTATGTGCCTGGGTAAAAGTCCTAGAAGTGGCATTCATGCTCTTTTTAATCCTCATACAAACTCTGCAAGGTCATTATCACACCCATTTTAGAGATGAGAGAATAAAGGTTCAGAGAGTCAACGTGACCTGACTGAGTGAAGTGAGGTCAGACCCAGCATGGTTTATTAGCAGAGCCTGGATTCTGGGGAGGGCACAGAGAGCTCCCAGGTTGAGGTGGCCGTGATGGTCACTCCCTCCCCTCATTAAAGTCCCTGCAGCTGCTGCCCGGAGTGGGCCAAGGAGAAGGTCTTGCAGAGGGAGGCCACATTGAGTCTGGCTCTAGTGGAGGCCCGTGGACAGGCCTGGTGCCTCAGTGGTGGAGAGGTGCCCAGAATCTGCAGGAGGGGGGCTCCGCCTGGGGGCACCTTGTCTGGGGAAGCGGAGGTTCAGTAACTTGAGTTCCCAGAGGTAGCACAGTGGAAACTGTGGTGGCAGGGGGCTGGACAGTGGTATAATATCTGGAGCGCCAAGCCTAAGAAAGTCACACAGAGCTGTAGGTGGCCCTCAAGAGTCCCACTAGCTGCAGCCAGTGAGGCCCCAAGAAGTTGGCCAGGGCCACCTCTGGGAGGGTTCCAGCCAAGACCTGCTCCCACGGGCCTGTCCTGGTCCTCCCACATGGAGCCCCTGATGACACATAGAGCCTCTAACTCCACAGGTAGCCCGAAGGGCCCAAGAGCACACTCTAGCCTCCCTCACTGTTCACATAGCCCTAGCCGCATGTGTGGCTGGGGTTGTGTGCCACAGTCCTTGCCACCCACCAAGCAAGCTGATTTCCAGTGCCTGCCAGAGGCAGCTGTCCTGTCCCCTGCTTGATGAGGCCACTTCCATTCCTGAGCCGGCCCTCTCTACCCCTCCTCTCCTTCCAGCCCTCTTCCCTGACAGTGAAGCGCAGGCCTGAGCAGGCCACTGCAGTTTTGGTGGCTCCGTGGTCCCTCAGATCAGGGCTGTCTATCAGTGACCTGCCATTGCTTGTCCCATAGCCATCCTGAAAAGCAGCCCCCACATTCTCCAGGTGGGACTTTATTCCCTTCCCTCAGGACATCTGTGCAGCATCACAGCTCACTGCCTGGAGCATCCCCTGGGAATGGCCACTGGGCGTTAGTAGCCCCTTTTTATGCCTCAGTTTCCTCAGTTTCAGAGTGGGGCATGTGAGAGAATGAACTTCTGGGTGTCCGACTGGGAAATACAAAGGCCAGGTAAAGGGTGGTGTGCACGTGGCCAGGGTGGGCAGGATGACCATCAGACCCTGGGCCTGCCTCAGGGAGGAACTTACCCTCGAACTGGGATGGACCGCGTGGGCACCAACCTCTTCTGCAGGGGCAGCTCCTCCCTGACCAGGTTCTTTGTGGCCTCCCAGTTTGGCAGGGCCTGGGGGCTGGGCTCCGTCAGCCAGGATAGCCTGCAGTGTCATTGGGAGTGTCAGAGTGGCTGCAGCCTCTAGCTCCCGGAGTAGCTGTCACTTACCTGGAGCTCTCTCTCTGCCAGGCACTGCTCGGTGTGCCTCGCAGCCACCAGCCCCCACGTCAGTTCACACGTGTGCTGAGGGAGGTCAAGTTACCCACACTTTGTGGGTGAGGAAACTGAGGTACCGAGTGGCAAAGTGATGGGTCTGCAGTGGCACAGCTAGGAGGTAACTGGACGAGGGTGGGCCGGCAGCCAGCCCCGGAGACCTGTCTCAGCTACTGCAGCCAAATAGCCTAGCCCAGAGCACCTTGGACCCCCCAGCTTCAGCCTCCCCAGCTGTTACCAGTGGGCTGCTCTGTGCAACATGTACCTGTTACTCACCCCCCATGACTGTCTGTAGTGTGGAGGTCACCACCTGGGTGTGTCTGGAGGCCAGGACGAGGACAGGAGCACACTTGTGGAGGCCACCACCTGCACATTTGCCCTAGCCTGGCCATGAACAGGTCAGGACATCTCCCCACATGGGCTCTGTGAACAGCCCTGTGGAGCACCCCTTGCCCACCCCACCTTTGGGCACGAAGCCCATGTAAGTCATGGGGGGTGGTGAGCACTGGGAACAGCTCAGGTGGCAGGGCACCAAGCTGAGCTCCAGAAGACCTGAGACGCATGCTTTCCTGGGTAGGGTCCAGGGGGCTCTGTGCCCTTGGCGTTGCCCGTGTGGTAGACATGTTTTCCTGGCATTCATTTTTCCTATTTGGGGTAGTGGCTTCCTGGTATGTGAAGCACCCCTTCCAGGCTTTACCCAGGCCCCCTTAGGTTGTCTGTCTCTGCAGGTTCCTAAGTCAGCAGAAGCAATACAAACAACTGACACCTGCCAGGCCAAGTCTGACGCCCCTGGGGTGTGGGGGGCAGGAGTCTGTGACTATGCTCCCCAGGTGATTGCAGAGAAGAGCAGCTGGCCTAGCTCTGGGACAGCCCCTGAGCTCAGGCTGCAACGGGGGTAGAGGGGTGGCCCCAGACTATCAGCAGACCTTAGGCTGCTCAGTGTGCTCCCTGTGGACAAGAGACCCCTAGCCCTAGCTGTGCACTAGGCCAGCTGCACCCTGCAGGTCCTGTGTGGAGGGGGAAGGCAGGGCTTGGCACCCCAGGGCCCCATGCATCTCGTACCTGTATGGAAAAGTGTTGGCAAATTTCTCCTGGGCCTTGCTCCTACTCTTCATCCTCCGGTGAGATTTTTTGTGCGTCCCTGAGGCCATCACAGAGAAGTTTAAGCTGTGGGGAGCCTCTCAGCCAAGGATGGCTAGGAGACAAGAGGAGGGGAAGATGGCAGATTGACAGAGGGGCCCAGTGGGGTTGGAGGGTGCTAGCCCACCCACGAATGCTCTGCTTCGCACCCTGGGTACCTGTCAGGCAGTCTCAAGTGTGCATACATGCAGCTTTCTGTAGCCACCATAATGAAGACCGTCAGTGGAACCCCCTCCTGCTATCCCTCCATAGCCACACCTGCCCTCTGCCCTGTCTCTGAGCCCTGGCAGCCACCCGTCTGATCGCTACAATCTCTAATCATTTCACAAATACACTATGGATGGACACTGTGTGTCTTTCTGAGACTGTCTGCTTCCCATCCTGGTTTTGTTGAGATCCATCTGTGTTTTTCCAATAGTTTGTTACTTTTTACTACTGAGTGGTATCCTGAGTTGTTTCAGTCTGTTTAAACTCTACCCATTGGGCTCGGCGCCTGTGGCTCAACTGGCTAAGGCGTCAGCCACATACACCTAAGGTGGCGGGTTCAAATCCAGCCCGGACCCACCAAACAACAATGATGGCTGCAACCAAAAAATGGCCAGGCGTTGTGGCGGGCGCCTGTGGCCCCAGCTACTTGGGAGGCCGAGGCAGAAGACTCGCTTGAGCCCAGGAGTTGGAGGTTGCTGTGAGCTGTGAAGCCACGGCACTCTACCCAGGGGGACAGCTTAAGGCTCTGTCTCAAAAAAATAAATAAATAAAAAATAAACTCTACCCATTGAAGGACACTTAGGTAATTTGCAGTTTGGGGCAATTATGAATAAAGCTGTTATTAATTACCCATATCCAAATTTCTACATGAAAATAAGTCTTCATTTCCCTGGAATATATCAGGGTGCAACCGCTGGGACATATTAAGTCCATTTCTAGCTTGAAAAGGAACTGCTGGAAGATTTTCCAGAGTGGCTGTACCGTTTCAGACCCCCAGTATCATACAAGATTTTTAAAATCTAAATCTGCTTAGATTGGCATTGAGACCACTGAAGTTCAGATCTGACCACTGGGGTATCATTGCTGTTGTGTGGCCTGCCTCTTGCTCACCAAATGCTTATGCTCATGTATTTTCACAGTATTCTAAATGGCTGCTATGCCCTGGACATGTGACATGGAAACTTGTGACACTGCTGCCTGCTGGCCAGCACTTTGCTTTACATGTGGTTCCCTGACCTGATGGTGAAGACCCAGTCAGGGAGGGGATAGGTTCCTGGTGGGGCGTGGGTTGCATTGCAGGCCATGGGCACTGGGTCCTTTTGCCCGAGCCTGGGTGGGAACCAAGTGGTGGCTCTTTCTCTTGGCATCAGCACCATCCAGTAGAACTTTCTGAGACAATGGAAATGTTCTGGAAATGTTCTAAGTCTGTGCTGTCTAAGACGGTAGCTGCTAGCTACCATGCTTATTGGCTGAGTATGACTGTGGGACTGAATATCTTAAATTTTATTTAGTTCTATGAAGAGCATGGCCAGCTCTGTGTGTCCTACCATATTGGGCAGCACAGCCCTGGCCTCTGGGCCCGGAGGGCATCTGCTGCTGCCCAACTGTGAGCTCAGAGGCCAGAACTCACCAGGACCCTTTTTGGGAACTGGGTCTGCTCCTGCCCTTTCTCAAGAAGACAGCCCTCTGGTTGTGATGACTTCAGATGCATAGCTGCCTGGCTGTTGGGTTTCTCAGCTGACCTTGTGCTGAAGTCCAGTGCCTGCAAAACATAGCCTGCCTGCATAGAGGGGACACAGCAGACTTTGGGGCCATTGTGGTTAGGGCAGGAAAGTACAGCTGCAGGCCCTAGTGTGATGCGTTCTCTAGGGCCACCACTCAGGCTCATCAAATCCATAAAACCCCTTCCAGGCACCTCCTGCCTCTTGATCCATGGCCATGCCCCTCCAGGGTGGCACCTGCCTTGTCTCTGAAGGCTCCCTAACCCATACCCCTTGGGAGCCTCTACTGGGCAGTGCCACCCACGGTTTGCTTTGTAGGGGCTGGAATGTGGCCACAAGGAATGTCCTCCCTAATATCTGGTGGATGCCATCAGGACAGTACAGGCTCACAGGCCTGCTGGTCCCAGAACATCCCTGTTTCATCCCACCTAATGCTCCTTAAAAGGTCCCTCAGCCCAGAGCTTAGCCTTGAGCTCCCTCTGGACACACCTCCCCATCCACCGGGAGCAGGGCAGCCCATGTCAAGAGCCAAAAGAGGCTAAGATTTATGGCACATGCTGTCAGGGACTCATGTGCTTCCCTTGGCCTTCACCTCTACTTCTGCAGACTGGGACTTGACTGTCTGCCTGAGCGCTGCCTCTGGCTGCAGAAACATGCCAGGCTGATGCACAGGGTACAGCAGAGGTTCCAAAGAGTTGACGCTCTCAGAAGCAGCCCCTCACCAACAGTGGGCAGGGAGCAGTAGTAAACACCCAAGTTCCCTCACCTCCTGGGAGGCAGCTCTGAGCTGTATGCATCACCCAGAGCACCCCTGGGGGCGGGCTGAGTTGGCTCCAGGTGATGACACACCTTGGAGTATCTCCCCTTTCTTGCTCACGTCCCACTCTCTCTCAGTGGTGCAGCTCCCGAGTTCTGTGTCTGCACTTGCACCCTTGTCCCAGGCCTGCTTCTGTAGAACTCAGACCGACAGGTGGCTGCTGCCAGCAATTGCCATGTGTGTTTGAATTCGGTAGCATGTGGGTTGAGGTGAGGGTCTCCCCATCTCATCTCTCTGACTGCCCCTCACACACAGATTCACACCACAACACAGACTCTCACTCACACTCGCAGACTCACACACTCACACCACAGACTCTCACACTTGCAGACTCTCACACTCAGACTCACACTCGCAGACTCACACACTCACACCATAGACTCTCACACTCAGACTCACACTCACAGACTCATACACTTACAGACTCTCACACTCACAGACTCACAGACTCACACACTTGCAGACTCACACACTCACAGACTCACACTCATTCACACTCAGACTCTCACACTCACAGACTCTCAATCACACTCTCACATTCGCAGACTCATACACTGGCAGACCCTCACACTCACAGACTCTCACAGTTGCAGATTCTCACTCACACTCGCAGACTCTCACACTCAGACTCACTTGCAGATGCTCACTCACACTGACAGACTCTCATACTTGCACACTCACACAATCTCACCCTCACATTTGCACTCTCACACTCACTGACTCACACACTCATGCTCAGATGGTCACACTCACAGACTCCCTCACACTCACACTCACAGACTCTCACACTTGCAGACTCTCACACACTCACAGACTCTCAATCATAATCTCACTCACACTGACAGACACTCAAAGACTCTCACACTCACACAGACTCTCACTCGCAGACACACACAGACTCTCACACTCACACTTGCAGACTCACAGACTCTCCCTCACACACTCACAGACTCATTCACACTCACAGACACACTTCCAGGCACTCACACTCACACTCATAACACAGACTTTCACACTCACACCCAGACTCTCACTCATGCTCACACTCACACACAGACTTGCAAATGCTCAAATTCACACACAAACTTTCACACTCCTGCTCACGCACACATACTCACTCACACTCAGTCTCACACACAGATATACACACACAGACTCACATTCACAGACTTCCAGAAGCCTTGGTCTTGGTCTGTGTCCAGTGCCTAGCCTCCTATCTAGGGTCCGGGGGCCAGTCTACACTTGGAGTAGGCAGCTTCACAGTGGCCCCCACCCTGGTCAGAACAGGGACCTCTCTGTTTAAGGCATGGTTTTCAGTAGCCCCTATAGCCCCCTTGTGGGGACAACTGGGCAGCATGACATGTTATCAGAGTTACCACTGAGAAGCCTTGCCTGAGGTCCACTGGCTTTCTGAGGACCCTAGGATCCCAACCTCAGGGATGTTTGCCTGTGTTCCCTAGTGGCTACTTCTTAGAAGTTAATGGGTCTTTATCATGCAATGTGCTATTAGGCAGAACTGGCTCTGGGAATGGAAAGGGTTTGAGAAGTGCATTCTGGCATGGGGGAAGTCTCTGCCTTGGACCAGGGAGTGCAGGGCCCCCAGGTCAGACCGGGGGGGACAAAGGGACAACTTACTCTGCCACTGAGCCAGATGGGGGAAAGCAGCCAGTCTGTGCTCACCTCTGTGCATGAGCATGTGAGAATGTGTGTGTCCATGTGTGGCACGTGTGTGAGTCTGTGTATTTGTGTATGAGGGTATGGGTCTCCCCATCTCATCTCTGAGGGGGTTCTGTATGAGTGTATCTGTATATGTGAGTGTGTATGTGAGCACATGTCTGTGTCCATGGGCCTATGTGTGTGCATGTGAGTCTGTGCGAGTCTGTGTATGAGTCTGTCTGAGGCTGTGTGTGTGTCTGTTTATGTGAATCTGTGTGTATGTGTGTATGAGTGTATTGGTCTCTGTGTGTGAGACTATGTGTGTGTGAGTCTGTGTATGTGAGTCTGTGTGTGTCTGTGTCTCTTTGTGTGAGGCCATATGTTTCTCTGTGTGTATCTGTGTGTGTGTGAGTCTGAGTCTGTGTGTCTCTCTGTGTGAGTCTGTGTGTGTGTCTGTGTGTGAACACCTCTGTGTGTATGAGTCTGAGTCAATGTGAGAGTCTGTGTGTCTTTGTGTGAGTGAATCTGTGTGTGAGTCTGTGTGCGTGTGAGTCTATGTGAGTCTGTGTGTGAATCCGTGTGTGTCTCTGTATGTGAGTCTGTGTGTGAGGCTGTGTGTTCTAAGTCTGTGTTTATGTGAGTCTGTGTGTGTGTGTGTGTGTGTGTGCATATGAGTCTGTGTGTGAGGGTGCGTTAGTCTCTCTTTGTGAGTCTGCATATGAATCTGTGTGTGTGAGGGACTGGCCTTCCTGTCCCTTTCCTGCCAGCCTAGATGCAAGTGAAGCTCTAGCTGGGCACTGGCTGAGATCTCCATGGCCTGGTCCCAGCC